ATTATCATTATCACCATCACCATCACCATCACCATCACCATCACCATCACCATCACCATCACCATCACCATCATTATCATTATCATTATCATTATCATTATCATTATCATTATCATTATCATTATCATTATCATTATCATTATCATCATTATCATTATCATTATTATTATTATTATTATTATTATTATTATTTCTCCTTAACTTTTTTCCAGTTAAGCGATTTGTCTCAAGTCGTTTACATTAACAGTTTCCCAGAAAATATGCATTGATATTTTGCGATAACACTTTGCGACTACGTTTTGCGTTCAACTCTCTATACAGGGCATCCCAGAATAACGTGTACAATGGAAAACCACAAATTCGTGGACTCAAAATAGGCAGATTTAGGCTAATTTACCTATATCCGAAATCGCGTAGTTTAGCCACTAGATGGCCTTAAAGTTTGTGAAAATTTTTTGAATTTTGTAAATAACTCGAAAGAGTCAAAATTCAAAAAATTTGCACGAAATTTGAGGCCATCTAACGGCCAAACGAAGCGATTTTGGATATAGGTGAATTAGCCTAAATCTGCCTATTTTGAGTTCACGAATCTATAGTCTTCTATTGTACACGTTATTGTGGGACACCCTGTATAACTATTGCCTAATTGCAAAATATAACTAAAACTAAAAAAGATGTTAATGCTTATACATTATAATTTGAATGTATGTGTTAAATCCTGTTTTGTTTATACTGAAAAACAAATAAATTTAACCATTTTTGCCTGTCCGAAAGCATTAAATATATTTTCTTCTTGCAGGTAATGTTATCCACTTGAAAAAGAAAGGTTTTTTTGTAATTTTTAGTGATACAGTTATTTAGATTTATTGCATATTAAAAAAATGTGTCCAGGTAAGATGTGTACCTATACTCGACGGCCAAAATTATAGATAGTGATTCATCGCTAGCTCTTGGACTAGTAAGGGGGATGAAGGGTGTCGGGAACGAAAATCCATTGGCGTGTCTGCGTAAAAGGCAACAAGATATAGAAAATATTGAAAAAACATAATAAAACATAACATCTAATATTTTTTACGGTTTGCTATAACCAGCACTTTGATGAATTTTAATTATTACAGCATTTTAAAACGTCCCAGATGTGTTTTTTTAATTTATAAATTTATTATAGCCATGGAATTAGACCCCTCGTCTACGCTTATGCTATGACGTTTCTCAGGTCGGGCAAATCAAGTCCGTTTTTACACCCACTAAAAAGGCATTTCCCTATTCCCTACCAAGTGCAAAAGACAGAGATAAAATATAGATCGACGTTCAGTGTAACTCAGTCTATACACGATTATAGATTCTACCGATGTGCATGGCGAGCGGCACAAAGATAAATAATATTGAACCGTATAGAAAACATTTTATATTTTATACGCATTATGGTAATAGTGTTTTTATATTATGTATTAGTCACTCTTTATAATTTCGGCTGCCGAGTATAGTAAATAAATAGTCAGAGCCTTCATGAATGTTTACGTAACCACCAAGCTTAGGCAACCAACATTGTAGGGCTAGTACTGGTAACGAAAATTCCCTGAATATTGGTGTTAGAGGCGTTTTAATATCTCATGAGCCGCGAAATGCGCGAAAGGCGTGGCGTATCCGCATATTTTTTCCAATAAGCACGTTGTGAAAACATTGACTCAGAATTAGACCACGTGCCTCATTACAACCAGAAATGAACTAAGGCGCTCGGGCATCAATAAAGTCAACTGGCGAACGTTCGTTATATATATTTTTATTGCTTAAATTAAAATAATAATGAATAGGGCACTTTATTATTATATTTGTAATCGGATCAAAGGCTTGCTTACGCTACGAGAGCTCGAAATAGACTGTGAATAATAGATGTAATGTTTTTAGGACGTAGAATAATTTAGGCGACGGTCGGAATTATGTTTCTGCGCATATGAAGGTCAAAGCTCATAAGATTTTAAAACACCTCTACCAATATTAATGATTCGTTTACAATGAACTATGATAAACCGTTACGTCTACACTCGAGAAAATGCGAACGCTGATTGGTTGAATAGAATCTCGTGAAAAATTGCACCAATCACAGCAGGCGAAACAGAATGTTGAGTTTTAATGTAATCTTGATCTTACTGTTTTATTAATTTTTAATTTTTTCTAAATTTAATTGCCAACGTGAAGGAAATAAGATCATTGTTCCAAACAAAGTTACTGGTCACGTGGCTTGTAATCGTTATTTATGAAGGCTCGGTATATAGTATAGACATCACCGTTAATTTAGAAAATATAAAAACTAGTAGACTTTTCTGAAATTTCGTAGACTGCGTCTCAGAGGCAGCATTTCTGGAAATATGTTCAAATGAAAACTCATTTTTTTTTTTTCAGAAATACTTATATGCCTACTTCCGGCTTCCACGTTAAATATGACTACCCCTGAAATTATAACAGAACATTTTCTGAAAAAAAAAAGAATGTAAATTTTTAAACTACATATTTTTGGTGTACAAAAATGTGATAATGTTAAACGCTTTGTGATAAAATCGTCCCTGGAGTAATTTACAGCAAAATATTTCCACCATAACAACCTTGGAAACGCAATTTTAATTAAAGGAAGTCTAAAATAAAACTGCATTACTATTATTAGCCTATTTTTCATGAAACTTAATAACCCATGACATTAGAATGGAAACATTAGGTTCGGTAAAAAATTAAACAGAAAAAATGAGAGCAAAATTAATAATTAAAAATTTTTATGAAATTTTAGGAAATACAATGTAAGTAAATCATTACCAATTATTGTGATAATGATCTCATTTTATTGTATGATTACACACCTATATACTATGAAATATATTGACGGTCTAAAAGGGTGTAACTACAGTTTTATAACTGTCTGATTACTTAAGCTCAATATCAGTCAGATAAAGAATTGGCCCCTTTTCGTTTTATGACAATTATATAATATGTCCGACATATCTATGGGTATTAGTTTGATTTAGGACTTATAAATGTTTCTATATAAATCTATAATTATTATGTTCTTGATATTAGACTATATCATATCAGATACGCATAGGTACCTCGATCAAATAATCGTCAAAAAGTGATGTTTTTTGCGTTATTTTTAGCTTCATTTCTATATCTATGTATTATAAACTGACTTTATGCAGATTGTAAGTAAAATACTTGGTCAAATTTTCATTACAAATTCTACGTTTCGAACCAAGAAAAAAATCATATAAACTCTCTGGGTTCCACACGTATATGAAGCGTTAAATTTCTGATATACAGGGGTTTAGATAAGAGGGTTATTTTTGTTTTTGACACCTGTTTTTTTTTTTATTTATTGGGAATTTGGAGAAGACCATATTTTCTAACACATTCAAAATCCATCTACATAAGTCTTAAAGATTGGCCGAATATTTTAATTCCGTCCCGTGTAAATTTGACATTTAAATCAAAGGATTAGGTATAGAGTATATGTAAACATCTAAAATCGAATTTTTTTAACACTTTAAGATATTCTGTTGATCTATATTTCAAGGTTTTCAACTGAAAACGAAATAGTACACTTTCTGAGAAGCTGTTAATCGACTTATTTTTAAGTATGTAGGTATGTACGTACATAATTATTCTCGTACATGTTAAAACAAACACAAGGCGAGCGGAAATTTGATGTAAACTGTCTTGTTTTGGTATAGGAAACCACGTTCTTAATTCAATATTTTCAAAATCTTAACATTCGAAAGGCAATTCTAGACTTTCATAAAATAATAAGCCAAATACATAACTTCTCAACTGATTTGGTGACATGTGTTTTGGCGAAACCAGGTTTGGTATCAAATATAACTCCAAGATTCTTAAATTTAAAATTTCGTTCTGAAGTAAGTAAAAGTGATCGTTTTCACTCTGATAAATTTTTAAATACTCAGCAAATTAGAGATGCGGAAATTACTTAATAAATAGGCATGATATAGGTTATAAATGTTCAAACAAAAGTAGAGTATCTAAATTCCAACAATGTGGTTCACCAGAAGTTGTTGCGAAACTTTGAGTTTCAAACTTCTATATACAATAAATTGTTCTCTAGAGGATAAGTGTAAAGTATATAGCAATATAAATGCACATAAAATCCAAAACTCTTTCACTTTAATAATAACAAATAACCAATTTAATCAATTGCACTTTATATTATCTGTAAATACCACATTCACTTATATAACTGTTGATCTTTTCAATCCAAAATAATTATTTTTTCCAATATTTTAGCGGAATTACGCAAAATGGCTACAGCTTTATAATTCTGAATTACTGACGCATTTCTAGATTTTAAAATAAGACATATTCTCGTAATTTTCCATATATCAGGAAATTTGGTTGACTTGACAACAGTGAAGATACAAACACTGTAGCAGCCATAATCTTTAATTTCGAAACTGGATTATATCCACGCCAGAAGTTATTGGAATGTTCCAGACTAAAAAAATTATTTAACTGTATAATTTTAAACATTCTAAGTCGACTTATCTTAAGGCACCTTCCTACGACGCGAGATTTAGGTATACCTAGTGCTTAAAATAGTAGTAACATTTTATTATGTATATGCCCTATTTCTTTATATTGCAGATTATTTTTTAATATTAAACCAAGGTGGAAATTGGAAAATAACAATAAGTTTTTCTAGATTTCGCCACAAATTCTAATTAATAATAATATTCTAAGTGTGACCAGTCAGTATGATACATAGACCATGGTCTATGTATGGTATGATACATTTAGGTTACACTGGGATATGATAGGTCTTAGAATTACTACTATTGCATACGTAATGATACATGTTAGTATATGTACGAATAAAATACTTACTTCTTCAGGATTGTTGACAACTCCCGTATTGTAACCATGTTGGAATGACGACCCTAAAGCTGAGGCTGCAATAGCGAAAGCTAATTTTCCATTAAAGCCCTGAAATAACAATTTGAGTTATTCAATTATTTTTATATTTTAAATATGTATACTTTGCATATTTTATTATAAATGTAATAAAAAGTATATGTATATAAGTACATTTTTGCTAATATTTCACCTGAGAGTAGTATATTCTGACATCTAGTTAAAATGAAAAACTGCAAAATGAAGACGTTCTGATAATACTTTTAGTTTTCATTTTTTTTTTTTGATTTTTAAACTGAAACTACATTTTGAAAGTGACATTTTTTTTTCAAAATTCTCAAAATAATTATTTCTCAATTTGTAAATTTATCAGACATGTACATTTTATTCTATTTTTTTTCGAATTAAATATACCAATTTTTTGTGTGTTTTTATAATACACACAATGTACGCTATTTTTGACCATTATTTAGTAAAAACATTTAGGTATAGATAGGATGAATTTCTAGAACACTTGACGGATTTTATTTTCTGTATTATTCCATTAAATATTTCCACCAAGCTCCACTTCGAAGGATTGATTCCTATAGTTGTTAATTCTCTTAACGACTACTTTATTTGTAAAAAAGGCACTGATATAATAAATTTCAATATTGTCGTACCAAAGTAGTCGTTAAGAGAATTAACAACTAGGTACAGGGGCCAAATCCTTAGAAGTGGCGCTTGGATCATTGGCGTAAATATTTAATGGAGCAATGCAGAAAATAAAATCCTTCAAGTGTTCTAGAAATAGATTTTTTTTTATTTCGTCGTTAACCTATCTATATAGAAGTGTTTTCACTAAATACAGATGGTTTAAAATATTGATATATATTTTAATTAATTAATTAGTTTATATTTAATTGAATTATTAATGAACATATTTTAATATTAAAAAACATCGGAACGATTAGTAGAAATAGTTTTAAAAATATGGTATTTTTACGCGATTTAAGTACTTAAATACAAAAAAAATTAATACAACTTTATAGGTAGAATAGAAAAAACCACATTCCAAAACCTGTCTCACAAATTTGCATATTAAAAGACGATTTTTTGAGAATTTTTCGAAGAAAAAAAACGCCACTCTTTTTCGAAAAGCCCTTTTTGGTTTAAAAATCAAAAAACTCAAAAAACTAAAAATGTATTATTTTTTATTACTTTTTTTATAAAACTAATCTCAAAACGAATAAAAAGAAAAAAAGTTTACGATATATTTAAAAATCGTGAAAGCTACTCTAAAAGGGTACTAAATAATAACCGAAAAATCAGGAAAATTAATTAAAAATGGTCGGGTCACGACCTCCGTGATTTGGCATAGAATGCCCCATATATATTTTTTCTATAATAAACAGTTTTTATGCTAATGTGTTCTCAATAATTATTCAAATCAATTTCAATGTGAAATCAGGCCGTAAATTTTTCTATATAAGCTGCCAAACTTAATATTGTATTTCAATTTCTAATGATTTTTACGGGAAAAGAAATAGGTCGAATAATTTATTAAGTTACATAATTAAACATCAGTTAAGTTTAAATTACAGTCTTGTTTTAATGTACTGTTTCATCTTTTGAAATATAGGTACCTATATTTCATGGTATAGACCTAATTACTATAACACCTCAAAATTCTGTTTAAGGTTGCTTTTGATACCTATCTAATTTTTATTTCGAAAAATTAAGAACAATATTTGCTATGCTATTTTTATTGAAATTGCAAAATAGATCTGCCCTACAAGTAATAAAAAGGATGCTATTTACGCAAACATTATCTACGGAGCTCAGTTTGATAGGATTGACTTGTAATAAATTCGTAATACTGATATCTATTAGAAATTTTATCTATAGCCACCTGTGCAAATTACCCTTCTAATTATTATATTTGTATATATTTTTATTAGTAAATTTAAACGCATGAAACTGTATGTACTGACTATTACAAATTGTTGACGAAAATAACAAATCGAATTCTGCTAAAACTTAGTCGATAGTGATAAGAATACATTTTAATTGATTCGATTAATAAACATACTATACTATGCTGTTTGTTTTGGTAAGGTTCAAATTCTTTTACACATATAAATATTTTGCAATTGTTGTGTATAAATGAAAAAGAAAGGATAAACAATTTACGGATTTAAAGATAGAACATGCTATGTCCAATAAATAACCAGATATAACTAAATGTGGGTAAATAATATCTCTGGATTATAGCACGAATTTTTGCATCTTCAAAAGATATATACAGGGTATCCTTTAAAGAATTACACCAATTACAGCCAGTGAAACGGAACGTTTTATTATAATGTAACCCTGATCTTACTATTTCAACAATTTTTAATTTTACCAAAATTTAATGGCCGAAATGATGGAAATAAAATGACAGTTCCAAACAAAATTACTGCTCGCGTGGCTTGTAATCATTTATGAAGGCTCTGTATCTACTGCTAGTAAAAGGTTGCTAATAGATATAATCGTTTGCGTAGTACAGTTAACATTAACATTTAAATTACTTTTAAAATATTCGTAATTTTGCAATGGTAATTATTGTTGTCCATTGATATGCTGTGCCAATACTGGTAGAAGTTAGAATTTCATTACCATTACTATGTGATGAAATAGTACAATGCAATTTTTTAGTATCTACTGTCTGATATATGTACTTCTATTGTTGTATTTTTCAATCACATGACAAAATAACCAAATTTAGTAAGTACCTACTTCGATTAAAAAACAAATGAAACATTATAATTTTATATATTTTATTGTTATTCTCTTATTACAACACGAATATAAAAATAAAGTGTTATGAAAAGAAAAGAGTATTGATTTAAAAATTCTCTTTCTGCCATCAAGTTAATTATAGTATTCTTAATTGTGCTATTTAGAATCCAAAACTTAAAGCAAAAAATTGATACTAGGGAGATATTACAGTCCATAAATAAAGATAAAGGGACAAGACTCTGGAATTTTCTTAGCTATAAACATTTGTTAACCTTCAAACGACTTTTACTGAATGTAGTAAGGGTTGGGTCGTGTTTATGTGAAGTTTAACCTTGTTCTATGCAGACACGTGTTTTTGAACATATACCTTAGACCTTAGACCCTGTAGTCCTGTACTATTGTAGAAGGTCTGTTAGTGATTTGAGTTTTAAAAAGCAGGTAGGTATTACTGAAATACCTATTTTAAGTTTCTGCGTTAAAAATTTTTGTTTTATACAAGTCCACATCCGTATTTTATAACGGAACGATATAACAGACATATTTTGTTAATTATGCCATGATAATTCATTTCCGTACCGATAAATAATAATAATTTAAGATTGGAGAGTTACTCAACTACTGGATATACAGAATAGCTCTATGGAAATAACATAGAGAAAAAATAAATAATGTACTTTAATAAATAAGTTTGTATGAAACCAAACGATATATCGGGTGATTTTTTTAACCAGAAACTTTCAAATATCTCGATAAATAAACACTACGAAAAAAAGGTCATATTCAAATTTTTATCATGTCTCCTTGTCCCACATACAAGAAGGCATAGACTTTTTAGAACGTTAGGTAGGAACCCCCATTTTTTATTGCATGCAGATTCGGATTCTATGGCGGAAACATTTTTTTCGATTCATGATAAATAAAATTCAATTTTTTCGATTTCTCCTATCTATGCATATGATTCTTCGATATGTTTGCAATAAAAAAATACCACTTCTACACTGTAAATAAGCAAAATTAGTCTTAAAACAAATGAAAACTACACGGCAAAAACGCTGAAAGTTAATTTTTCGGTATAATAAGGATATTAGTACCAAAAAATGCGTGTAAAAAGTAGAAAAATCATAGCGGTCTAAGGAAACTTTTATCGTTTTCACCGATAAATACATAATTACCCGTTGACAAAAATTTTGATTTAAAATTTAAATTGTATGATTTCCGTTTTAAACGTGCAAATGAAATAAAAGTGACTTTCATCGTTTTTGCCGTGTGGTCTTATATCTTTTCTCTCAAATTATTTGCAATTACTGATTATGATCGCTTGTAACTTATCGTAGTGCTTGATTACTTTCAAATGAATGTATTTTTTTATATTTTGTTTTCAAAATACCATTTCTTTTGTTAAAAATAATAATTAAAAAAATGTTTACATCTAATGCTTGTGTTGTTTCTTTCTTTATGTTTTTTGTAACTGCAAAAACTCAAAATAAACGTACAAAGAAAAAATAACTAAGAAATAACTCATTTTAATCCTATGTACTTTTAGCTGTAGAACACCGGCCCATCTACAAGGTGGGGGGACTAATTTTAGCACTAGTGTAGATATTTCCTCCAGGGAATAGTTAAATTTTGTTGACGGCCATTTTCTTCGTAGAGCGCTTATTTTTCGAGATATTTAAAAGTTTTAGGCGTAAAAAATTTTGTTTTTAAGAAAACGAGAGATCAAAAGTGAACCACATACTATATAAATGAAGTGCTTCTGCATTGATTTAAAAAATACTTCATAAACATCATAAATATGCCAACATATGACCAACTTAAAAGTGGCATAATGAAAACAAGATGATATCCTGTGAAAATTACATTAAGTTCAAGTCTGTTGTAAAAAAATGTCGGCATCTGGCATTAACGTAAAAGATTGTGTCATAAAGTAAATATATACTGATATAATAAACAATAAATCTTCGCATTTAAAAGTGTTTTTTAGTATAGGCTTAACTTGACTCGTTAGTACCAATTCCTTATTTTTTTTACATTATCTTAGTAGTAATATAGTAATGAAGTTACTTTATCACTAGTATGCTAATAAGTCTGTACTTTAGCTAAATAATTACGTACAAAACACGTGCTTAATGTGATACGACATCGTTTGGGGGATGCACTTAAATTTTTATCCTTATGATATGGTACGAGTACCTACCACGTCACAATGTCTTGATATTCCCTATCCATCGCTCATTTAAAACTTGCTTGCACGAAAAAACAATAAAACATAAGCAAAAAATTATCTTAAATAACAGTAAGTATCGCAG